AAATCATCCAGCACATGTATCCAACAGCAATGTTCGCAGACTCACGAACAGGAAGTAGCGAGCGTGAAAGTGGTAGAGGATTTGCTTTGGCTGCACGAAACCCGGATTCGCATTTTGGCAGAGAGAGATTTTGGGCCGACAGCGGTGCCACCAACACGTTTGTTAGCAGCAGCCATCAAATGTTAGACTTGAGGCCAGTGCCGCCCGGTAAGCAGTGCATACAAGTAGGTAACGGTGCCTATTTGCGCGTGCAATGTGTTGGCAAGGTAAACATGGCGTTCCACATGCCCGGCCCTTCGAGCGAGACCGATTTTTGTGTACAGATGTCGGACGTGTTCGTAGTCCCCGGCATCAAATTCAACCTGTTTTCTCTGCACCATACGCAGCGTAGGCAGAAGACCACGTTGGACGAACATGGCGTGCACCTCTTCGATGTTAGGCTTACCTTTGCTTACTCCGACGTAGGATGTTCCCTGTTGGCCACTCGCTTGCCTGCGGAGTATACTGGTAGTGCTGTGACCTACAGCCCCGATGCTCCCCCCTGTGTTTCTGCCCAAGCCTCCCCGCCTAGCGTTGGCACAGGACTTGTCACGGCAAATCCCCCTTTCCCACAGAGCGCAGGNGACGTAGGATGTTCCCTGTTGGCCACTCGCTTGCCTGCGGAGTATACTGGTAGTGCTGTGACCTACAGCCCCGATGCTCCCCCCTGTGTTTCTGCCCAAGCCTCCCCGCCTAGCGTTGGCACAGGACTTGTCACGGCAAATCCCCCTTTCCCACAGAGCGCAGGAGCGGGCACGACTTCGAGTGCGAATGCGAGTTCCGGTTTCCAGTCCGTCGCAACGGCCGGCGTTGTACCTTCGACGTCTGGCGTCCAGTCCGCCGGTGGAGTCGCTGCCGGTGTTGTACCTTCGAGTTCGAGTGCGAGTCCGAGCTTCCAGTCCGCCGGTAGTGCCGCTGCCGGTGTTGTACCTCCGAGTGCCAGTGTGAGTCCGAGCTTCCAGTCCGCCGGTGGAGTCGCTGCCGGTGTTGTACCTTCGAGTTCGAGTGCGAGTCCGAGCTTCCAGTCCGCCGGTAGTGCCGCTGCCGGTGTTGTACCTCCGAGTGCCAGTGTGAGTCCGAGCTTCCAGTCCGCCGGTGGAGTCGCTGCCGGTGTTGTACCTTCGAGTTCGAGTGCGAGTCCGAGCTTCCAGTCCGCCGGTAGTGCCGCTGCCGGTGTTGTACCTCCGAGTGCCAGTGCGAGTCCGAGCTTCCAGTCCGCCGGTGGAGTCGCTGCCGGTGTTGTACCTTCGTCTTCGAGTGCGACTTCGAGTGTCCCATCCACCACGTCCGCTGTAGTGCTTCCGCGTTGTGCATTCCCGCCCATCGACGTAGATGTAGTGCCAACGACTATTGCTGACTTCCAGCCTGTAATCACAGCTGCCGTAGCATCGTCTGAGANGGTGGAGTCGCTGCCGGTGTTGTACCTTCGTCTTCGAGTGCGACTTCGAGTGTCCCATCCACCACGTCCGCTGTAGTGCTTCCGCGTTGTGCATTCCCGCCCATCGACGTAGATGTAGTGCCAACGACTATTGCTGACTTCCAGCCTGTAATCACAGCTGCCGTAGCATCGTCTGAGATTGTCCCTCCGTCGTTGACCCGAGCGATTTTCGTGAAGTTGTGATCAACCCCCTCATCCCCCAGGACTATTTGCCTCTCATGGATATGAGCATGTTCCTTGATGTAGGCCTGATGGATGGAAAAGACTCGGTCCCACAGGGTGATTTTTTTCCGGATGCGCTTGATGTTTGCGATTCTGCAACACCCCCGCCCCCCGCGTTTGCAGTGATGAGTGATGAATTGGATTGCCTGAGAGGTTTTGCTGCTGGATGCAGTGAGCAGCAAACCGTAGCTCCCCCCTCCCTCTCGCATGCCTTGGCGATTATCGCCCCCGGTGCTTCACCATTTTCGGTAGNGTGATGAGTGATGAATTGGATTGCCTGAGAGGGTTTGCTGCTGGATGCAGTGAGCAGCAAACCGTAGCTCCCCCCTCCCTCTCGCATGCCTTGGCGATTATCGCCCCCGGTGCTTCACCATTTTCGGTAGGAAAATCCAGGCCGACCATTGACATTTTATTTGTTCCATGCCTCCACCGGCCATGTAAACGAATTATTGATGCGTGAAACGGCCAAGCAGCAGGACGTGCGACTGGTGGGGGAGATGGAGCCATGTGCGGGCTACGTAGAGGCGAAGGGCAGGCGGGCACCGGTGCCGCGGCGTGGCACCCGCGCGGCGGTACCGTTCGGCAAAGTCCACATCGACCTCACGGGCCCGTTCTCTGACGCGCTGGACGGCTCCCGGTATCTGATCATGTTCGTGGACAGCGCATCGCGGTGGCAACGGGGGTACGGGATGCGGGCCAAGAGCGACACCCTGAAGTTCGTGCAGCGGTTCCTCGCCGACATGAACGGCATGGGCACTCCGGGGTGTTTCCGCATGGACAACGGCGGCGAGTTCACCGGCTCCGCGTTCACTTCGTTCTGCGACGCTGCTGGCATTCGGCGCGAGCACACCGCCCCCGACACCCCCAAACAAAACGCGGTGGTCGAGAGCGCCATATGGCGCGCCATGAAGGGGGTCACACCGCGCGCCGCCACATCCTCGCCATGGGCCACGTCGACCTCTCCTCCATCCCCAACGTCGGCGTCAACGGACATCGCCTGTGGTTCGCGTCGACGCTGTGGGCATCCGCCTGCTTCAACCGCTCCGCGACGAAGGCCAACCTGGGCTGGATGTCGCCGTTCGAGGCGTCCTTCGGCCGGAGGCCGCACCTCACCGTCGTCCCTTTTGGAGGGGATGATGCGCGTGAAGCGGGCCACCAAGGCGGATGTTTAATCCGCGCGGTGCTTCTACCTGCACGGCGCCAACAACCGCTCGACGTCTACCGCCGTCGTTCTTCGCGCTGACACCGGTCGCCTCGCCCTCACCAACAACGTCGTGTGGGTCAACCGCCGGGCAGGAGCGCCGGCGCCGGCGCCGGGCATCGGGGGGGGTTCTTCGGTCACCGCGGCGCCCTCGCCGGCCGCCGCCGTACCTGCGGCCGATGCCGCAGCGCCGCCGCCCCCGCCATCAAGGACGTACACGTACACCCCGCCTGCACCAGCGACCACAGCACCGCCGCTGCCCGCTTCCCCGCCGATCTTCACAGGATCCTCAGCCCCGTCGCCGATCTCCGTCGTCCCATCATCAGCCCCACCGTCGACCGCAGCCACACAGCGCCGTTCGCCCCCGGGCCTGCCGCCGCCGCCGCCGCCGCAGCCCGCCTCCGCCGCCGCCCCCGCTCCTCCGCACCCACCGCTTTCAAAACGAGTCGTCAAGGAGTTGGGACGAGAGGACACGAGGGTACACGGCCGCACGCGCGGCGATGGAGTGCGGTTCCTGGATGAGCAACAACAACCGCCGTCGCCACCCGGTGGCGGCACCGCTCTCCACCACCGCCTTGGGCTGTTGGACATGATGGACAAGGCCACCCTCATCTCGTCGCTCGCCACCCGGGAGGCCGTGGA